TTCTCCGTGCTTCATCCAACAAATATAGTTTGGCATGAAATCCAACTTGAACAAGTGTGAATGAAGAGTCTTTGAGTTAGCATATTCTATCGTATTCTTACATACGGCACATGGGCAGCACATGAAACCATCGCGTTTGTTTGCCTCGGCCGCACGTAACAAAGAATGCACGCCGTCCATGAACTCTTGGGAGCGACGATCAGCATTGTACATCCAATGCCGACTCATCTGTTTTACATGACATAAATACTGTATTAAAACCTAGAACATAATTAGTTAATTATACAACATGCATACCACCACAAAAGCTATAAATTTAAGAAAGCCTCGCTACAATGTAGACAATCACAACTACCACTAAAAACACTAAAGCTAAAATGCACTTCAGCAGCACAAGAATTTCGCGACCAATCCCAACTAAAACAGACAGATCCCCCATTTGTTCAACCTCTTTGGGCTTCTTCGGCTGGATCACTGCCTCATTAGCCGTCATATATGCCTGTTGTGCAAGATATTTTTGCACAAGTTCAACATACTCTTCCTCCCAGTAGAAGCCTGAACATCTAGTGCCATCCCACTAAAATTAAAACAAAAAATTAGAACTTTAATCACAACCATCATGAAAATAGGTATAAACTAACCATAGTCATTAAATATGATAAAATAACTCACATTGCGATCCGGACACTTGTAGAAAATGCGACCCTTGTTGGGACCCTCCTTCTTCACTCGGTACTCCATCACAATCTTCGTCTCATCACAACACTTGCCGCATGCAATGAGTGGGAGGCCCGGCCTAAGTCGCTTTGGAAACCCATGAGAGGCCGAGGACCCAGAAGCAGTTGCCATCTACTCTCTATACTCATTTTTTAATACACTATAAATTTATCATTTTATAAACAAATAAAATTAAAAAAAACTCTAAAATTCTCTATATCTCTAAACAATGAAGTGTGCTATGCATGCTACAAATGAATGGTGAATACTAGTTTTTAATAGCTACTTTAACCTTCCTTCATGTAAATATGCAAGCTTGAAGTGATTTTGAGCTCAAATTGCTTACAAATGAAAAAAACCACAATAAAGAACCATATATATATAGTGAACAAAATGAGATAAGACAATGGTGAAACATGAGAGTATGAAGTTGGTAACCTTTAGAACCGAAGAATCGACGGAGGAATCGAAGAAATCGATGGAGGAATCAAAGAATGGATGGAGAAAGAGCAAGAACATTGCTTAAATTTGAACTGAAGCTCTCGGGCGGGCTCGGGGAGGGAGAAAACGGCCAGCAGGATTTATAGGGGGGACCTTTAGTCCCGGTTGGTGGATCCAACCGGGACTAAAGGTCATTTTCCAGTCCCGGGCCACGCCACTAGCCGGGACAAGAGCTTTACTCCCGGTTGCAGCCACCAACCGGGAGTAAAGGTCGACCTTTAGTCTCGGTTAGTGGCTCCAACCATTGGTGGCTCCAACCGGGACTAAAGGTCCCCTGCCACAATGGCCTGGCGCAGGAGCCGTTGGGCAGGGACCTTTAGTCCCGGTTGGAGCCACCAACCGGGACTAAAGGTCTCTCTAGTCCCGGGCGCAATATTTCCCGGGACTAGAGCCTGGTTTGGCCCTTGGATCAAAGGTCTGTTCTCTACTAGTGCAAGTGCCACATTGAGGCTCACCACCGCCGCTCGACTCTTTTGGTTTCATTGGTGTTGTCCACTATGGTACTTCTCCACAAACAAAGGGTCTCCTCCCCCCTCCCCCGCATAGTAAGCATACGAAGCTTGGAGGGTAAATGTATCTGGAAGGTCACCAAGACCACAAGTGCTCTAGCTAGTACGATTACGAGGGCACACCAACTCAATCACTCAAACTTTCAAGCTACAAGCCTATCTCTCACAAGGATGAATGTACTAAGTCCAATTCTGTCCCTTGCATGTGATCAATATGCAGTTGAGAAGATGGATGGAGTGTAGAATCACTTGCTCTAGCTTCTAGCCACCTTGGGGCACTACAACAACATCAAGCAAGATCATGGAAATGCATGTGTATAGTCCACCACCCTGGTTAGCTCCATTACAAACTCACATCAACCTTTTATTCTCACTAGATGATCCCATGCTAGCCCTTTTTTCATTGTCGGACCACCCGGCTTTGTGACCTGTGAAGTAGCCATTGTCGACATCTATCTGCTACACTATCTGGGGTGCTTCCTCGACCATCGGATTGTCCATTGTGTAGTAATCCATAGTGCTTGAGCACACATGCAGTGCCACTTGACGACTTGGAGATTGTATGGCAAAGTCATCTTATCACCTGTCGAACCATGGTGCTACTATTTACACATAGTACCACCATCTTTGTTGATAGTTTGGCCATGTTATGTTTGTGCAATGCTTGATGCATGGTATCGTTAGACCATCCAATATGCACAAGTCCATGGTGCAAAGTATTCATAGCACCACCAAGTTGTGCCGCCCAGCGCCACATCGACATCGTATGGTGCTAACTCGCTACACCCTAGATCAACTTGAGGTTTCATCAATGGAGGGTAGCACCTCTGTTCCAACCTAGGATAGTGGAGGATTCAACTATATAAACTCATACAGACTTGTTACTTGTTCCTATGACTAGTCTATGTGATGTTTGCTGTTTTTTGTAATTGAGATGTCACATAATCCTCGTAAGCTATCACCTTAGCGAAGTTGTTGTGAACAAGGCGGTTAGAATTCCTTTGTCGACCTGTCATTATAGTGCAACTCAAGTGATGGGGCACGTTGTTGATATGAAAGTGATGTGTCATGCCAAACACCGAGCACATCATGTGTAGCCCACAACAGTTTGTTTCTAGTGCACGGTAGTAGGGGTAAGCATCACGCTTTCACGATGACTGACGGCTAGCTCCTAAGCAAGCTAGATAGTAAATGATGGCGCTTTCATGGTGAACAACAAGTTTCCGAGCTAACTAGCAAAGGTTGTCGAAGCTGATCTCACCAGGGAGGGATTCCGTCAAGGCATGTGTGTTTGTGGGTTGCCCTAGGTCAGTCGGCAAGCCTAGGGAATCACCTTTGATTGTTAGACCAGGAGATGAACAGCATGTCAGGGTTGGAACAGTAGTGTGTGGAACAATGAAGCTGGGAGTTGAAGAGTTCGCCCTTAGTAGTAAAGTAAATTGATCGTGTCGTCTTCAATTTAAGAACCAATCAATATTCCCATATAATACATCAAATTTCTAGCTAGATGCTTTTAGGACAAATTTGAGCAGGTCACTGCATCCCTTGGAGCCCATGTTGTAAAATATCAACATCACGGTCACACGCCTCATACCAGCACCAGAGAGTTAAAAGAACAAATATCAGTTTTGAAGGAAGCCCTCGTGGGAGGTAATCAGCATTGTTCACAGTCACGGCCCCTAGCTAGGCCGGGATAATGATAGAGTGACTCAGTTTCCTTTACATGATGCCAACAACGGACCCGAGTCTTAAATGACACTAAAATTTACAAGTGGGGGGAGGAGAATGCATGTAAATGTACTTTCGCAGATGCAGCATATATACCCTGTGACAGCACTTGAGCTACTCTCACTGTGTCATTATCAGCAGTGCATCTTTTTCCCTTCCTATCTGCTCATCGAAACTGCCATCACTGACGGCACAATACAATACTCCCTCTGTCCCTGGATAAATAGATTCCTAGAGTTGTCTTAAGTCAAAAATTTTAAACTTTGGCCGGATTTCTTAAACAAAACGTTAAGACTTATGGTATCAAATTAGTATCATTAGACTTACTATAGAATATATTTTCATAAGGTGTGCTCATTTTAAAACAAAGATGTTGTTACTCTTATCTATAAAGTTAGTCAAACTTAAAAAGTTTGACCGGCATGGATTCTAGAAATTATTTTATTTGGGGATGAAGGGAGTACATATATACGGCTGCAAGCAAAATACATTGATTATTTACTTGCAACAGCGCTCACCCCCTTCAAATATGTCAAACAAACTTAATTATTTTAATAATCAGAATCTTTTGGTGGTTAGCTTTACAATATAAAATGAGTTAAAATTCCTGCACTACTTCTCATTTTGTAGTAGTGAGTATTCTATTAGCTGGGTTGTTCTGGGTTTTAAAATTTTATTTCAAATCTGAACTGAACCGTAAGGATTTATTGCAAATTTTCCCTATAAAAAAAACGCTCTACATTCAAAGCAATATGACTGCATGTGCTTTATCTGATTTGTAACTCAAACGGGGAAAAAATGCATGGTGCAACACATTTGCGAAAATTCGTTTCTTCTATAGTAACACACAGTCCGTGTGATTGAATGAGTGCGAGAAATTTCTAGCCATCCGTCATTCATATAAATATAACATACTAGCTAAGCACCTTGCTAAGATTAGAAAGTGCACCAACTAAGATATTTTGGATTGTCCAGGTCATCATCATGTGAGAGATGAGGGCCTACAACATTATCAATCAGCAAAGACAAATTGCTAGCTTCATTATCAGTGGTCCATATCTAAAGTGAAAAGAGCAGGAGGAATTTGTTCCAAGTCTCATTCTTTCTTTGGGAAACAGGCCGACATTTACCTCCCAGCAGTTAGAAACAAACAAAAAAATAACTAAACTAAAGTTGGTACAATAATAAATTGATGTTCGTTGGTCAAGCTAATTTCAGGCCATTCAAAATTTAAAATATTAAATTACCCATAGAGGAAGGGTCTTCGAGAAATAACTAGAAATTGAAATATAACCTCTTGAACCATGATAGATAAAGATAATTATATGAGGAACAACTAATACAAATATCATACATTAAAGCAAGCACCTCGCATGGTACATATATGCATCAGCATGCATAACTAAGTAGTATTATAGAGGACATCTCAGGTGTTAATTCTTCCATGATACACATACAAAGCTGTACTCTGATCGAGTATAGATATATAGAACTTTGACTATGAGCACCTGTGTAGGGCTTCTAGACTTGTCATCTCTTCTCAAACTATGTAAACCATGTGCCGCCCTGTGGGATCTCCCCGGCAAATTGCTTCTTCTTTGTTGCGATATAGTCATTTATTATCTCTCGCTCCGACAGCGCCCTCTGGAACACCTTCTGGCCGGAGACAGAAACCCCAGCACCCAGTGGCGGCCGTGCCAGCACCGTCACCACCCTCGGGTTGGTGAACACCCAAGGTCTGGTGATTAGATCGTAGTCATAGACAGACTCAATCTTCTTCACCCTCTCCACACTCACGTCGCCCTCGGCCACTAAAGTGTTCTTAGCGCGAGACATGGTGTGTGTGTGTGTGTGTGTTTGTGTTTGCTGGTTTGTTGCAAGCTAAGGGAGGAAAAATGAAGCTACCAGGACACGTTGTTTGAGCTTGTGTGCCTTCCAATGGCGCTGGTGATGGCCTCCATTTATAGGCCTCAGGCGGTGGTGTTCTATTGGCTGTGATAGCAGAGTGAGAGAAGTAAATGTGGCAGCAGTGCTATTTCTCAATATCTGATGTGTCTTTGTTGTTTATTTCATGCCGTAGGTGTATGGTAGCTTGGTATCATATATTGGCATTCTATGGATATGGATCCTCCAATAAGTCTGAACACATCTCATGCAGCATCCTGAATTTTCATCACACACTTGAAAAAACTTAAAAGCTTGACCAGGCATGTCCACATAGTGAGGCAGCGACAGAAAGGCAAAAGCTTAATGGAGGGGAAGAGTTCAACAGAGAATAACCTGAACCTTCTAGCTATTTGTCTCTGAACCGCCAAAGGACCATGATCTGATAGTTAGTAGTGTGCTAAACCTTACTTTTCCATCTGCTCACAGGGACAGGTGAGTTATACATGTCAGGTTTAATGAAGAAATTTCAACATACAAATAAAAGCATATGTAGCCGCAGATTCATTCTGTTTCATATATGTTTTAGGTTAACAACTTATTCATCTTTGTTGTCTTTCATATATACCCATTTCATGAACCACGAGCATTATTCCTGAAGAAAATTCAAGCTTGGTGCCAAGACTCCCTCTCTCTTTCCCCTAGAAATTGGTCATGCCATATTAAGTAATCTGCTGCTACCCTTGTGTGAACGCACGGCAGGGACAGGCGGCGCCAAAAAGGGCTCCCTGCTGTTGCACTGTAGCAGCTACAGGGGCAGGCGCAGAATGGCTCTCCTGCCGCACTGTAGCCACAGCAGGGGCAAGCACCATACTCAGCCCTACTATCACATCTAGTCACTATAGCAGCATGGGAGCCTGACATGTCCGTGTACTAGGATTAGATGGGTAGAGTTGTATATATAGTTTGCCACTGTAACTCAATAAAGAGAGCGAGTTCAGTTTTGCCATCTTCTCTTCAGAAGCTCCAGCCAACGCTGGTGCTTGTGTTGTGTGAGTGTGTGCTCTGTTCTCCCTCTCTTCTTCTACCTCTAACCATAGTGTGTAGTCGGCAACGACACTGCGTGGTCGGCAATAGTGGTGAGTGGTCGACTCACCCGTGCCGGAGATCTCAAGGGCTAACAAGTGGTATCAGAGCCGTACAAGCGCCGTCGTCGGACTAACCGCTGGCGATGACGGACGGTTTGGAGATGGGCGACAGCAGCGGTGCTGCTATGGCTGCCCATCCACGACAGGAGGTTGTTGTGCACATGGTGCGGGAGGTCAGCAACACCAGTTGGCCGACGCTGACTCGCACCAACTATGGGGAGTGGTCGGTGGCCATGAAGGTCAAGCTCAGAGCCCGACGGCTCTGGAATGCTATTGACAAGGGCACCGATAACGAAGAAGACGATATGTCAGCGTTGGAGGCTATCCTCGCTGCTGTGCCACCGGAGTACAGGGAGCCATTGGGGGCGAAGAGCTCTGCTAAGGAGATGTGGGAGGCCATTGCAGCGATGCGCGTCGGTTCCGACCGAGCAAAGAAGGTGATGGCCCAGAGCTGTTGAAGCAGGAGTACGCCAACCTCAAGTTCAAGGATGGTGAATCGGTGGAGGACTTCTTCCTCCACCTACAGACGCTCATCAGCAAGCTGAGGAGCCATGACGTCACCATCGATGAAGAAGAGACAGTCTCCAAGTACCTCCACTCTGTGCCGGCGAAGTACATCTAGATTGCTCTCTCCATAGAGACGATGCTGGACTTGTCCACCCTCACCATTTAGGATGTGACAGGCCATTTACGCGCGGTGGATGAGCGCATGGAGCAGGCCACAGAAACGAAGGACAGCGGCAAGCTGTTGCTGATAGAGGAGGAGTGGGCTGCCCGGAGGAACTCCGGGGAAGCCTCCTCCAGCTGTGGTGGTGATGGCAAGTGCTGCGACAAGTCTTCTCTAGAGAAGAAGGAGGAGGTCGACCCCAATGCCTGTCGACGCTACGGGAAGATGGGCCATTGGGCAAAGGAGTGCCCAAATAGCAAGCAGGAGAAGAAGGCTGAGGCTCATCTAACGTAGGCTGATAATGATGATGAGGCCACTCTCCTGATGGCGACATTCTATGCACTGCACGACATTGAGGCCACAGAGAAGGGAGAGGCGATGGTGGTGAAAGGGCTTGGGAAGCCTCTAAAAGTTGTCTACCTCGACGAACCACGCGCCCAAGTCCACCTCAGACATGTGGGTGGTGAGCAGGAGCAGTGGTGGTACCTGGACTCTGGTGCTAGCAACCACATGATGGGCTCCAAGGAAGCCTTCTCCGAGCTCAACAATAACGCGACCGGCACAGTGAAGTTTGGTGACGGCTCAAGGGTGGCAATCCGAGGGTGCGGCACCATCATCTTCAGGTGCTAGAACAGTGAGCACCGCGCGCTAACAGATGTATATTATATTTCGCAGCTGCATTCAAGCATCATCAGCATTGGCCAGCTGGATGAGTGTGGGAGTGAGGTATTGATCAAGGAAAGTGTCCTCGGGATCAGGGACGGGGAGCAGCGCCTTCTTGCTAAGGTGAAAAGGTCCAAGAACCGGTTGTACCTTCTCAACTTGAAGTTGGAACAGCTAGTGTGCCTGGCAGCACGGCACACCAAGGAGCCATGGCTGTGGCATGCCCGGTTTGGCCATCTCAACTTCAACACGCTCGATCAGCTGGAGAAGATGGTTCGAGGGCTCCCTCACATCAAGCACGGAGGCAAGCTGTGCGACAGCTGCCTAGCCAGAAAGCAGAGGAGGCTGCCGTTCCCAAAGGCAGCCAAGTATAGAGCGGTGGACGCTCTCGAGCTCATCCACAGCGATATCTATGGGCCAATCACGCCAGCCACAAATGGTGGTCGGCGGTACTTCCTCCTACTCATGGACAATTGCAGTCGCTATATGTGGCTGCAACTCCTGATGAGCAAGGACAAGGCGGCGGAGGCGATCCAGAAGTTCCAGGCGCGCGCGAGACGTAAAGCGGCAAGAAGTTGCGCGTGTTGAGGACTGATCGCGGTGGCGAATTCACTTCGGTGGAGTTCGCTGTGTACTACGCGGATTAGGGTGTGGTGCGACACCACTCCGCACCGTACTCACTGCAGCAGAATGGCATGGTGGAGCGGTGGAACTAGACAGTAGTCAACATGGCTCGATCCATGATGAAGGCCAAAGGCATGCCAGCAAGGTTCTGGGGTGAAGCGGTGACCACGACGGTGTTCATCCTCAACTGCGCGCCCACCAAAGCCCTAAAGGGCAAGACGCCATCCTCCAGCTTGATATGGGCGCAAGCCGAGCATGTCCTTCCTCCGAACATTCGGCTGCATCGGCTACGTCAGCAAGACAAAGCCGGTCCTCACCAGGCTAGAGGACAGCAGCATACCGATGGTGCTCTTGGGCTACACGGAAGGTACCAAGGCATACCGGCTCTATGATCCATGCGGAGGCAAGGTGGTTATCTCACGCGACGTCGTGTTCGACGAGAAGGTGGCCTGGGACTAGGACAGTCCGGGCATAGGGGAAGCTGGCGGATTCAACAGCACCTTCGTCGTCGAGCACTTGGTCATCCACGGTGGTGGAGACGCTGGAGAGGTGGTGCCGACCACTCCAGCAATAGAGCCAAGCACTCCTGGGCAGTGTCGAGCACTCCAGGATTGATGCCAAGAGGTCCTACAGTGGTGTCGACCACTCCAGGACAGGTGCCGAACACTCCCGTAGCAAAGCCAAGAAGCCTTGCAATGGTGCCGACCACTCCAAGACTGGGGCTGAGCACTCCTACAGTGGTGCCGAACACTCCAGGAGTGGTGACGTGTGGTCTAGGAGTAGTGCCGAGCACTACAGCTGGGGTGCCGAGCACTACAGGTGCCATGCAGACCACTCCGGCAGAACAGGAAACTCCATCGACGCCAATCGAGTTTGCCTCACCTCCAAGCGACATCACTGAGTTTGTGCATGCCTTCCACGACGGTGAAGAGGTGCGGTTCCATAGGCTGGACGATATCATTGGTGGCACAGGGCCCTCAGGCCTGGCGGGTCGGCTGCTCAATGACCTAGAGCTGCTTCTCGTCAGTGCAGAGGAACCGCCCACATTCACACTGGCCAAGCGCAATGAAAACTGGCGACGGGCGATGCTGGAGGAGATGAAGGCGATCGAGGGAAACGAGACTTGGGAGCTCATCGATCCACCTCTAAGATGACGTCCGATCGACCTGAAGTGGGTGTACAAGGTCAAGCGGGATGAGCACGGTGCTATTGTCAAGCACAAGGCGCGCCTCATCGCTCAAGGCTTTGTCCAGCATGAGGGCATCGACTTCGAGGAAGTCTTTGCGCCGGTAGAGCGCATGGAGTCTGTATGACTGCTTCTGGCTTTGGCAGCAGCAAAGGACTAGCGTGTCCATCACCTGGACGTAAAATCGGCCTTCCTCAACGGCGAGTTGGCGGAGACGGTCTTTGTCAAGCAACCTCCGGGTTTCGCCGTCAAGGGAGCAGAGCATAGGGTGCTCGGACTACGCAAGGCGCTCTACGGGCTGCGACAGGCCCCACGAGCGTGGAACGCCAAGCTTGACGCCACGCTAGGCGAGCTTGGGTTCACAAGGTGCGCAACCGAGCAAGCGCTCTACACACGGTGATGGGGGAAGGAGGAGCTCATCGTCGGCGTGTATGTGGACGACTTGATTGTCACCGGCGCGCGCGTGTGCAGAGGACATCGACAGCTTCAAGCGCGAGATGGTGGCTCATTTTCGAATGAGCGATCTCAGCAAGCTCTCCTACTACCTCGGCATTGAGGTAAGACAGGGCAAGGAGGCGCTCACGCTCGGTCAGAGCGTGTACGCCTCGAAGCTGTTGGAGCGGAGTGGCATGGCTGAGTGCAAGTTGTACGTGACTCCGATGGA